GAAAACTGTAATATGTAAAAGAATTCTACAGAGTTCTGCTACCTACTAAATTTGTTTATTTCAGTCATTTAAAGCTAGTTTTTTTTTATGATAGCATATTCATTTAAGATCTGAATATCTAGTATATATGCACAGTGGAATACTATTCAGAAAAGATAAACTCATGTCAATTACAGCAACATGGATGGAACTGGAATGGATTATGTTAAACAAAGTAAGTCAGAAAAATGAAAGCAAATACCAGATAGTATCACTTACATGTGGAATACATAAAACCAGGCAAAGGGTCAGATAAAGCCAGCCTCAAAAACTAGCCCTTGAAAGCAGACTGTCGAACTGAGTCATTTGGAGGGAGAACAGCAGAGGCAGCAGGAAACTCAAAATGGGGAGGAAGCACAATGGACTGTGATGGTGGACTCTGTGTGCTTTGGTGGTGGGAGTGCTATGGTAACAGCACTGGAAGGGGTGTGTGGGGGGTCCTATACCAAAATACAAACAATGGAAATCAACATTACTTCAATAAAAAGAATGAAAAAGTTTTGAAAATACTAACTACACATGAACAACACTTAATATGTATTGGGCAGTTTCTTCACGTTGCTTATTTGAAAAACTTAAAGGAAAAGTAATATATACACATGGTGAAATATTCAAATAGTAAAGAAAGGTACAGTACAAAATAATATTTCTCTTCCTTGCAAACTTACCTCCATTTACTAAGCCCATTGAATAACATTATTAGTAGGCGCTCTAAAAGATGTGTGTTTTAGGCATATATTAGCACTTTACCTACGTAGGTCCTTTTCAAAGGGCAAATTGAAAATATCAAAATAACAATTGCCTTTCCATTTCACAGTAAGTCATGTGCTTTTTAGATATCTTGAAAGCTTCATCAAATTACATAAACAAGTTTTGTTATTTCTTCACATTAACATATTCTGTGTATTTCTATGCAGATTTTTCTTTGTGATGTGCTTTTTTTTTTTTTTTTACTATATACTATTCCTTTATGAGACTGAGAGTCCTTGGAATGGAAGGAGAGTATATTCTACTTAAATTTGTGGATTTGTAGCTAGCATACTACCTGGCATAGACAGATGCTCAAATGTTGAGTGAATGCTTGAGTGAATAAATTGAAAGTCAGACTCAAAATTGGCATGTGTAATTCCATGAATATTAATCAAAGGAAAAAAGAGATAGAGAAGTAGACAAGAGTTCAATGGCATGGATCCATAATCTAGGAAAAATCATAATGTCCAAGGAAGCTCATGTCAAATGAAGCCAAATGGATATTATATCAATTCTTTGGTTTCTCATCGGGGCTTGATATAGGGGGTGCCTAGCTGATTTATTACTGAAATGGAGGGATTTACCTTTTATCCTTTGGATATAAACAGCAAGATACTGTCTGATTAATGAAACCAAAATCCCTTATACCATTACTACTGGGGCAGGTTTAGATAGCCAGTGACTAACTGGATGTGGGGCTGCAATTCTGATAGGCAAGATCATCATACACTCGTTTTTCCTAATCAGTAACTCAGAAGAATATTAAACCTGGGATTTGAGTAATATATAATGTTTTATAATAAATATAATATGAAATAATTCATAATGAATATACTAACTGGTTGATGTTAACATAGGCTACTAATTGCAGAAATAGTAATAGTATCCACAGAAATAGCTAATATTTATTGAGTGTGGTTAAGTGCCAAACATGTAATGAAAGATTATTTCACTTAACCCTCATGGCAGCCTCTGAATAGAGTGTGATTTTGGTTGTGTCTTCCAGATGGGAAATTATGGCTTAGAAAGTTTGTGAAGAAGGTCATTCATCTAGGTTCACGTGAAAGGATGCAATAGAGTTGACTTTGGAGAAAGTCAGGATTTTCATTCTTGACTTTATTTCACATGGAAAGTTTTAATATAAATGCCAGTGCCAGATTAAGTACTCAAACTTTATTACTTACATGATTTGGGACTGAGGTCCAGTCGTATCGGCATATTTAAAAATCTCTCTGGTGATCTTAATATATATATCGTCAGGTTTGAAAACCACTGCCAGTAAAGGTGCTTTGCTCTCCATTTGTACCATGTCAATATGAAGAAATGATAATGATTATGTACTTTAAGAAATAGTTTTAAGATGTGTTTTTCCCCCCTCTATCCTCTATGCCTTGTCCTTATTTATGTATCCCACATTTACCTCACTGATCCTGCCTACCCCATTTATTGGCCATTCTTTCCTGGAATGTTTCTGTGTACAGAGTGAGTGATATACAGTATCTGAAGCTTTGCCTCTGTGAGTACATCTAGGTTTAGATTGTATTGCTGTGATGCCTTTGCTGTGTTCCTGTTGTAAATCTTTAACGAGGTGTTCAGATACTTTTGTTCCGATACTCTTGTTTAGCTACACCAAATATGCTCTTGTTAATTAGGTTTTTTTATTAAGCCTAGTTGATTGGGTTTTATGAAATGTCTCATTGTATTAGTTTGAAATATTAATTACTTTATAAAAATTGCTGTACATAATAAGGTCATGGTTCTAGTTATTTCCATGAAGTCAAAAAAATTCTATACTCTCTATGATCCTAGATTCCGTACCACCTTGCCATATTTTCCAACTCAGTAATTCACCATTCTTACATTTCCAGCTAAGCAATATTATTAAGGTGAACTAGTATCACAGCATTGGGAAAATGGTCCAGAGGCAAAAATATATAATTCAGAAAAAGTGGAAGTACAAAGAAGTTTAACCTAGTCAATTTAAAAAAATATAGCAATACCTTTTCTACATAAATTAGCAACATTTTTCTTTCCTTAGTTGTTTTAACTTATGGATACAATATGTTGTTTATTGTTCATGGTGTCCTCAGGCTAAAAGGCAAACTCCACAAGGGAGAGAAGTTTATCTATCATCCTTCGGTGATAAAAGAGCTAAACCTGTGTCTGTCATAAAATAGACACTCCAGTGTTTAAAAGAAACAGTTTCTGGATGTATTATTTTAAGTATATTTTTATGTACACACTAACAAACATCTTGCACACAGTACCATAGGACTGGCAGGTGTATAAATTCACATAACATTTTTGAAGAGGTGCCTGTGACGAGGAATTGTATTTATTGTTAAATACTAATTTTATCTGAAACATATACTTACACTTCTGGACCTGTGCCTTAAGGATATAACCAATAAAGGACAGATTTACAGATAGAAATTATATCCATAGCATTGATAATATAGGGAAAAGAAAAGTAGCTGAATGGGGGTTTATTAGACTTAAAGGGTCACCATTTTGATTCAGTGCAGTCTGCCCACCAGTAAAAGGTCAGAACAGCCTGGTCAAGTTATATGACCTAAAAGAATGTAGGATACAAGACCTTACAAGGCTTCTTTCAAATTAAGCAAAAGGAGAATGCTTGATCACCTTGGTAAATTGGGAGAGATCACTAGGTATGATGAGGAACGCCCAGGGGACAGTTGACTAACGTGTAACCATGCACTCCAGAGACTAATCAGTTCCTTTTCCAAAAGACTGGCACCATGGCTGGGGATCCAGGATATGACTTTGATTATAACACCAGGTCAGATAAAAAAAATGTCCGGTCAGCAGACTCATGTCCCCTTGAAGGCTTAGATGAAATAAGCACAGTTTCACCATCCTTTTTTTCTTTTTTCTCCTACCCTGCATAACTGATGTTGTATGATTATTTTGTTGATTCAAAGACCAGGATCTTGCTTGTTCAGCAGCCACGTGCATTGTGTAGCTTGCTTCATGACTCCTGTTTTCTTTGTCAGTATGGTGTTGCTGGTGAAACAGCTGAGTGTCAAATAAAATATGTGGCAATTATCTTACTTTCAAACAGACTAAACAATGTTAAAATGAAGTAATTTTAAATGATAAATGGAGGGTTAATACTAAAATATGATTCCAATTTCGTAAAAATTGAGAGAATGAGATATTAACCAAAGTGTTAGTAGTAATTATGCCTTGGTGCTAAAAGTAAGATCATTTTTGCATTTTTTTGTAGTATATGCATATACTCACATTTGTACCTTCGTTAGTCAGGAAAAAAATCTTCACTTATGAAAATTGGGTTTATAATTTTCTTGGTTTGATGATATATTAAAGAATCTATTGTAATGTCCTGAGGGCAAGAATTTTTAAGTGTTGTCCATTTGTAGATTCTGCATGCCTAGAGTAATGTTTGGGATGTGGTAGCACTATAAATATTTTTGAGTAAATGTATGATTGCACAAATGATTGCTATGTAATTGTCTCTAAAATTCCTTTTATACTGTTAGTTCTAAGGTCATTGTTTACTTTTCTTTTAGAGTTAAGCAATAATTAGCCCATTATTAAATATTAAGTACCTACTCACAAAGTCTTTCCACTGAGGAGAGACTATTTTCTCATAAACTATAAATAGTCTTCAGTCATGTTTTTATCCTGGGGAGACAGGTGACCAAGACATAGTGGATGTCGATTTTAATGTATATAATATTTAAAATGATTATGACAAATCCTTTACATTCAGTAAGCACCTTTTAAATTAGCTCTTTGTCCTGAGATTTAAAGAAGAAAATCATAATTAATCAATTAGCAAGGATCCATTTTATTATTCAACAAAACTTGTTTTATGTCCAATGCTGATAGAGGGTAAAGGGAATATCAGAGAAAAAAATTAATCACACACTTCATTGATGTAATTGGTGGAAAAGGACAGTTATTAAAAGATAACGATTGACATTAGGCAGTGCTGTATTGTGCTCATTTTGATTTAAAGAAGGGATGATTGCAAATTATTTTTTTACCACATAGTATAAGTCTTAGATTAATGGCTTTATTTGAACTCTTACCTTTTTTGGGCATAGTTTCACAAAATTAAGAGGAAATGGTGTTCTTAATGTAAGTCTTGTAGTAATATACCATTTATGCTATAATTAATACACAATATACTGTGATGTAACACAGATCTCATGCTTTTCCCCTAGGATTCGGAATTTCCCACTGATATACAACCACATCCAAACTTGTACTTATATAAAGAAAACATTTGCCCAGCAAAATTTGACTACAAGCTGAACAACATATTTAGACTTCATGAACTTCCAGTGAGCTGGTAGGATGCTTGATATTTTATTAACAGCTTTGAGTGTTTATTTCCATGTCTAAATTGTGGTGCTCTTCTAGTCATTCATTGTCAAAGTGATTTGCACTTAGCTTGTTTCCAAATTGCTACTCATAGCAGTGAAACAATCTGCTTATAGCTACTGCAGGAATCTTAAATCTAATTGGTGTAGGCACTTGGTGGCAGTACAGACTAAGTGTAGTATTGTTTTATTTATAGTAGAGATCACCCTTTTGACTTAAAATGCACAAATCTGATTTAGAAAGGTTTGTAGGATTTACTGTAAATGTAGGATCACAGCAATTATATATTTGACTGGTTTATTTCACTTGCAACTTTACCAATCTATGTTTTCTTCTGTTTAATTTGGTTTGCGAACAGTGTCATGACCCCTATATCAGTTTAAAGATAAAATGTGTGACTCAATATTTATTAAAATGCATAATTTTATTAACTTACATATTTAAATTCCTTAAATTCATAAGTAAGTATTTTAAATTCTGTAAAATTTACAATACCTTCAGTGTTTGGGAAGAATGCACTTTCTATAGTTAAGTTCTGAGATAATTAGAATTTTTATAAGTGGTCAGCTTTTGTAAATTATCATGGATATGTCATTTTGAGTATAGTCTAGGTAAGTAATATTATTTCTTATTATTTGTTAATCTAATCATGACTTTCATCATTGATCTTCAATAAGTCTAACGTTTGTATAAAAGTATATGGCAAACATATATACTCTCCTTATGCTTAATGAGGACAAATGTCTCACAATAGGATGTTAGCCAGTTCTTAACAATTTACATGGTTTTTGCCTGTGATATTTTTTTTCAATCTTGCAAAATACCCTCTGTTATTGGTGATGATACTTTTAATCTACTTCCTAAATCCTATTTGTTTAACTATTTTCATGTAGTAAAGGAATGTCATGATAAATTGCTTAAGAGCACTACAGATATGATCTCATCTTCCATGACTAAAACCAGTAGGCTAATGAATGAAAAGGTCTATTAATGAAGGGAAACATAAAAATGATATATTCTTATGTTAAGTATTGTATTTCAACCTAAAGCAGAAAATTTGTATTCACATGTCAGCCTTTTGATGAAAGGTTACATTAAGTGACTGTTGATTGGACTTATACACCATCTTGCTTACAAAAATGATACCAGTAATGCATCATCTAAAATTTCAATTTTGTAATTTCCTTAAACTGACACAAGAACTTCCGACTCTCAGGAGATGATCTTCTTACCTTTCCATGCCGTTAATTTAATTTTAATTGACAGCAATTCTCCTTACCACACATATTTTATCAACTTCATTAATCTTTTAATTACATTATAGTAGCAAGAACAACTGACTTGTGAGGAGGTTGAGGGCCAAATTCCTTTGTGTATAATGGTGGCCCTTGGCTAGAAGGAGAGCCTGTGGGTCACGCTTGTTCTGGGGAGAGCTTTGAGCAGTTGTGCAGAGAGCACAACTAACATGTTTTATAGGGGAGGCTGGAAACTTCGGATCAACTCAAAAAAAGAACGCTGAGACTAACAAAAGATTCTTTAAATAAAAGAGTGGAGAAGAGAATGAGGAAAATATTGAACTCTGTTAAAAAGAAAATTTGAATTTTTAACTTTAAGTTGTTTGCAGTATTTTGAATCAAAGTTGCCCTGATAATTTTACTAATGCAATTCAAGGAATAAGTCATCATCACAGTCTTCATTAAGTAGACACAGGGCACATATGCCATGAGTTAGGCGTTTATGTAGTTATTCACCAGTATTCGGGACAATCTCTATTCTTCCAGTTACGTGCCTTAAAAGAAAATTAAGATGTAGTTTGGGCATTCCATTTACCTGAGAGCTTTTGTTGCTCTCAGGTAATATTTCTGTTTTTGTTTCTCTATCCTACTATTATTTCTTCTTTGCCAATAGTTTCTCTCTCTTCCACCTGTCTTATTGTATATATTTTCCTCTTCACTCTCATTGTGCAATGCCACTTCTTAGGTAAACAGAATGTAAATTTTTGAATTGATACTTCTAGTGTTTCTCAAATAGTTTCATATTCTCTATTTTTAATTTTAAAATCAAATTGAGTGTTCTGCTTACCTCATGCCTTCACAAAGGCCTGGTATGTCCTTTAAAGGAACTTAAATGTGTTTTTGTTTAATGTGACTGCAAATTTACTTACTTTTATCAGTATTATTGGGGGGAATGAAGTTTGTCTGTTTTGATGTGTGGTCCCCAGACTTCATCAACCTAACACTAGTAAAATAATGCTAAAGAAAATATACCAGTAATAACAGTAAGCCCTGTTTTACTAAACACTGATGAATGCCAGGATTCATGTGGTTTACATGCTGATTTAACTTTTATATTTCTGCAGGCAGGTATCATGTCCTCCATTTTTCTCCTCTTATACCCCTCACTGCATACTTGTGCTGTCGTAACACACATCCATTCAAAGAAATAATTTTTATCAGGTCTGGTTAACTCAAAAGCAAGCTACAAAACAATGACTAAGTTACAAATTATTTTAAAGAAAATACCGAGGAAATAGTCTTTCTTTTACAACTGGACATGTAACTCTTCTCCCCTGACAAGCATGACACATGATGATAACTTTATACTTAGGTGTTAAAGTAATTAATTAGATTTATGTAAGTGCAGAATTTGTTAGTTATATGTTCTTTCTTTAGGATAAACTCATTTATTTAAATGTATATTACTGTGTTTTTCTAACATGGTCATAATAAAATAAATGCATAGTAAATTTCAGATAATAATTCTTAATGTCTTACTAATTTGCATTTTTATGGAGTGCAGTTTCATAGATCGAAGAACCAGAAGGGTTTTAAATCAGATTAGTTAATTTTTTTCTTTGCCACACAACCCCCCCACCACACCTTTCTTGTTCCCTCATGTGCTGCTCATTTTCAGGAGAAAAGTTGGCTGAAGTGCTGACAGACCAAACAGCCTCCTGTGTTCTTCCCAGTCTTCCTCCGTGGAGTCTCTTCCTTTGCTCTGCTCTGAAACTGTACTTGTCAGTCATTTGCCATTTCTGTGTTTTCCCTCCCCCCTTTTCCTCTCTTGACTCCCATGATTTGTGTGGTCCTGGTTTTCTGCTGCCTCTCAGGCTGTCAGTCAGCGTCTTTAGCTGGCCACTCTTCTTCAGGGAGTGGGGTGGTTTTGTGAAACTAGCCACACACACTCAGGTGGCCTCTTCCATTTTCATAATCGATCGTTTCCATGGCAGCATCATGACCGTGGGCAGCTCCCCTAAGTCTGAGCAGCTAATAGGCTTCTTCAAGTTAATATGTCCTGAAAGAACCCTTGTTTACCTCCAGAAAACCTGGTATTTTAATTTTTGTAGTAAGTATAAAATACAAACTTATTTATTCAAATGAACAGCTTCAGACTAATTTTGATTCCTCATTCTCTCACACCACAATTCCCTCCATTCCATCTACCAGTAAGTCGGATTCCTCTAGATTATATTTACATTCTCCATCACATCTCATTGTCAGTTTGACGATATCTATTTCTCAGAGAAATAGACGTCTTGCAGAAGTCTAATGCACTCCATCATATCCCACACTGATTCACAATAGCCAAACCTATCTTTAAAACCTGGAAGTCAGGTCTAAAGATTCCCTGTTTTAAATACACTCTTATCTTCTTGTTTTAAAATAAAATTCAGTCTTCTTATTGTGACCCACTGGGCACTGCAAGTTGAGTCTCCTGCCTCCCACGGTGGCCAGATGCTCTGGGCCCAGTACCCCCAGCTGCCACCGTGTTTATACTGCCCTGAAATACTGTCACACTCCCAGGTGTGGGGTATTTAAGCTAGTGATTTTTGTTGTTTTTGTTTGTCTAGTTTTGCATGATTGGCTCATTCTTATATTTCAGTTCAAATATTACCTCTTGTAAGAGATATTTCTTGTTACTGACCTCACTCCTCCAGAAACTTGCAGTTCATCTATTTTCTTTATTTCTCTCATGGCTCTCAGTAGTCATGTGAAATAAAATTAACATTTTTTAATAAAAAGGGAAAATCAACATGAAATATTAGTGTTTTCCTGGTTTATGTGTGACCGAGTTTGACTTGATACTTACCATTCCAGTTTTCTCTTTCCTGTGGCCATTAAAAGTTTCTATCTCTCAGTCTTCTGAAGTGTGGTGAAACATAAGACTAATTCTGATGAGAACCACTGTGCACCATTTCCAGACCTAAACCCCAGGATTTCCACTGCATACCTGCTCTCATTGTCCTCATTCTCTTAGTTGGAATCAAATTATGATGTCACCTCCTCGAAGTAGCGGGGCACCTGAGGCTTGTGCTAGGTGGAGGGCTGTCCAGCCTTCACTGAGCTTTGCCTGAGTACTTTTCCACTGCCCTAATTAATCCACTGGATTTGTGAGTATAAATGAGTTAGGCTATATGAGATGCATGAAATTTCTTTCAAAATAAAGACTGAAGGTACTTTCAAACTCATTCATTCAGTAAAGATGTATAGAGCATTTGTCCAGCAGTATTCTGGGCAATCTACTAAATACACAGGAATATGTTCCCAGGGAGTTTGTGATTATTGCAGGGAATAGTTAGTAAACCCATAATGAACCCATATATACAATAATGCTTGATGACATAACATCATAGAGAAACATAAAACAGGACGGTTTGGCTTCAGGTTTAAGGAGAAGAGCCAGTGATACACTGAGAAGGTGGCATGTTCCGAGAACCTGAAATAGGTGAGGAAGTGAGACATGCAGAGAAATGAAGAAAAGTCGTCATGAAGAACAGCAAGTGCAAAGCCTTCAGGTTCAAAGTGTTCTGACAAGTTCAATATAAACAGAGTAACAGTTTGGAGAAGATGGGGAGAAAATGGAAGTTAGATACTCAGCGATCAAAAGGGGGGCTTTATAGATCATAGCAAAGAGGACTTTACATCTACAGCTGAGGATGAAGGGAAGCTATTAGAGCATTTTGAGAGG